GGGAGAGAGGCAGGGGGAGAGAGGGAGAGAGGCAAGGGGAGAGAGGGAGGGGGAAAGAGAGAGGCAGGGGGAGAGAGGGAGAGAGGCAAGGGAAGAGAGGGAGAGAGGCAGGGGGAGAGAGGGAGAGAGGCAGGGGAAGGTGGGGCAGGTCTGATGATGCACACATGCAATCCCAGTACTATAGACAGTGAGCCAGGAGGATTGCAAGTTTGAGACTAGCCTGTACTATAGAGTGAGACCATATGCATAAGGTAGAAAGTCATATATGATTTACATATGTAACTTAGAATAATTAATAAAGTTTATTAACATATGCACCACCTCAAATCATTTTTATGGTGAGAACATTTGGAATTTATTCTTAGCAGTATTGGAATGCATAATACACTACTGCTAACTGTGTTCACCACACTGTGCAAAGAAACTTTAAAAAAGATAATAAAAGACAAAAAGAAAAGAAAAAAATCAATGAAGACTGAAGTGGAAAACTACAGGATGTATAACAGTGTTTATTATAAAGTACAGTCAAGATGAGTTCACCCTACAAAGAAAAACCCAGCTCAATGCTAGAAAACTGAAAATATAAATCACCAAGCCATTAACTTAAAGAATAAAAACATATGATGAGAGTTTTCCCACAAGACACCAACCTTTATTATACAGCTATTATGAATACTAGCACATGCATCATCAGAACAGAAATGGAGCTCCGTGACATTTTCGGTGGAAAAATGATAGATGTTTCAACAAACTGTGCTAAGACAAAATGTTTATCTATGTAGAATAATGATAAATAATCCCTAGATCCCATCATATATAAAAATTAGTTCTAGGTAGAATCAGTGTCTAAATCTGAAAAAAAAATGTAAGTGCAGTTATTTTAGAAAAAATAATATAAAAATATGTTGTCAGAATGAAAATCTATAGGGAAGGAGAGAAAAGAGCATAGAAGGCAATGCAGAACTTTAACATAATCACAACAAAGGATTCAGACAAATCCAAAAGAAGGTTCTGAAGTTCCAATAACTCTCTAAAATTGTCCCCAAGTGGGGAAAGGGTGCCAGTTTTTATAGCTGTATGCATCAGCCATTGGACACAAGCTAACTCTAAGAAGGGCATGTACCTTTGAGTAAGCATGCTTTGGAGAGGAATCCATTGAGATGTATTGTTCTAGTTTCATTTCTGTTGCTGTGACAAATACTGTGACCAAAAACATCATAGGAGAGGCAAGAGTTTATTCACTTCACAGTTTCCGCTTATAGACTTCCAGTGGGAAGTCAAGGCAGGAACTCAAGCAGCAAGTTATAGCACATCTGCAATCAAGATCAGAGGGAAATGAATGTATCTGCTTGCTAGTGTTCTTCACTCTTTTTTTTTTTTTTTTTTTTTTTTTTGGTTTTTTGAGACAGGGTTTCTCTGTGTAGCTTTGCGCCTTTCCTGGAACTCACTTGGTAGCCCAGGCCGGCCTTGAACTCACAGAGATCCGCCTGGCTCTGCCTCCCGAGTGCTGGGATTAAAGGCGTGCGCCACCACCGCCCGGCCTGTTCTTCACTCTTATATACTTCAGGACCCAGCCAGGGAAGGGTGCTGCCCATAGTGGGCTGGGTCAATTAACAATCAAGATAATCCCCCACAGACATGCCCACAGGCTAACCTGCTCTTGACAACTCCTCAATTAAGACTCTCTTCTCAGGTGATTCTAGATTGTGTATTATATATCAGGCCAAAACATATGCTATCACATGTATCTCCTCCTAAAGTTCCTAATAGTTTGAGACTAAGTACCTCTATCTTGGAAGAGGGTATCTGTGAGCAGTCTTCAGCAGATACTTTAAGAGAAGACATCAAAAGGTAACTGTGAAAAAATCTCATTGGCAATCAAAGAAATGCTACTGGAATCAAGGAAGTCACTAGCAAAAACAGAAATTAAAGAAATTCATTTTGTTAGGTATCAGACCTTACCTAGCATGTATTGTTACCAAGAACACAGGATCCCTTTTGGTAGGCTCTTAGTCTCATGAATAAAAAATAATAATTAAACAACATCGAAGAAAATTTAAGGACAAGTTTATTAGTTTAAAAGAAGAAAATAATAGGGTAGGCAAGCTGGGAATCAATGACTTCTAACCCTACTCTTGTGAGACTCATGTTTCAATGCCAGGAAAGGAGGAGGGGCCTGAGAGCTCAGGAGGTTGAGGACAATTAGAGGAGTCATAGAGTGGGAAGATTTTATATATATATATATATATATATATATATATATATATACACATATATTCATATACATATATACATATACATATATATATATATGCATTAGGCAGCCAGACACCAGCAGGCAGCCAGGTACACACAGGCTGTAAACATATGTGGGCATGGACACATGCACAGACTGGCATACAGGCTACATGAAGCCAGGTGCACAGGCAGGCTAGCAAAGGCAAAGTCTCACATGTCTGACCTCAAGGACATATTTATACAGGATCACAAAAAGTGGAACTCGGTGCTGTGGGATGTCTTTCTGTACGCTGTGAATATATGTTGCTCTGATTGGTTGATAAATAAAAACTGCATTGGCCTATGACAGGGCAGGATGGAGCCAGGCGGGAAAATCCAAGAGAGATAGTGGGAGGAGAAAGGAGAGCGAAGCAGACGCTGCTAGCCACTGCCTGGAGAAGCAAGAAGTAAAGTACAGGTAAGGCACAAGCCACGTGGCAAGGTATAGATTTATAGAAATGGGTTAATATAAGATATAAGAGCTAGCTAGCAAGAAGCCTGCCATGGCCATAGTCTAATATAAGCCTTGTATGCATGTTTATTTGGGTCTGAGCAACCGTGGGACCAGGCAGGACACAGAAAAATTTCCAGCTACAACTTGGTTAACAGATTGTATAAGTATTTACTTTGGGGGTCCAATTGGTAGTGACTCATAGCCCCTGAGATGTCCAATGTCAGCTGTGTTATAGCTGATTCATACCAGATATCCATCTTAATACCACGTTATCTGTATATATAAACTAGTCCTTATGATCTTCTGTTCCCAGCAATAGTACTCTGGATTTGACCCTTAAAAAACCAGAACCAAAGTATAACATATTATCAGAGCTGTGATTAAAAACCGCACATATTATAAGTAGAAATATAAATTGATGAGATTCCATTGAAAAAATATTTTATAGTGCTAGGTTAAGCTTAAAAAAGCAAATGTCTGGGCTGAAGAGATGACTCAGTGGTTAAGAGCACTGGCTGCTCTTCCAAGGGACCTGAGTTCAATTCCCAGCACCCATATGACAACTCACAGCTGTCTGTAACTCTAGTTCCAGCAAATCCAACACCCTCACACAGACATGCATGCAGGCAAAACATCAATGCACATAAAAAATAAAATTAAAAATATTAAAAAAAAAACAAATGTCCTATGTACCAGGATTCCCTTCCCTAGATATTTTCCTTAGAGTAATTCTTACAAATAGATATCAAAAGCCATTTAAGAGAACATTCACCAAAGTTGTGTTTCTCTAAGCATTTTTACATTTAAACTTGAAACAGTGTAAGGGGAACTCCCTACCCCAAAAAGAGATAGTTTATTTGGAGTAGACAAGTATTTATTTCATCATATATGTATGATGAAATACCTCACAACAGTACAAATAAAAGTAGGAGTTACACATATCATCATGGATGGATCTCACAAACATAATTCTAAGTAAAGGAATCAAGGTGCAAAAGAACACATATTTCAGGTTCAAAAACAAGAAAAGTGAGCCGGGCGTGGTGGCATACACATTTAATCCCAGCTCTCAGAAAGCAGAGGCAAGCGAATCTGTTAGTTCAAGACTAGCCTGGTTTACATAGTAAGTTCCAGGACAGTCAGCCCTACATAGAGACCCAGTGTCAAAAATCAAATCAAAACCAAACCAACCAAACAAAGAAACCAAAACAAAAACAAGAAAAGTAAAATAGCTGCATTTGTATTCATTGATGACAAAGATAGTTTTCAAAAGAGAGGAATAATAGGAATATTGTTAGTAGGATAGAGGCCCTGAGCTGGAACTGACCTGAAAGTCTCCTCCCAGAGGACTATCTCTCACCAAAAGAAGGAGCCATGGGAGTCTCCAAAGGAGGGAAGCAAGCAACAGTCCTACCCAGCTGATGCCTAACGCTAACTCATACCTTGGCAATAACTAACAGCTCTTACTGGACTTAAGCCATGCTCGGCAATGAGGAAATGGTGCCTGATGCTGGAAACCCAGCCAACTACCCTGGGCTAGTGAAGTCATGGATCTTGGAGAAGAACCTCAAGTGTCACTTTACTAAACCAGTATATTCCCTAAGTACGTTATAAATATTCATCTTTATACTTACAGATAAATACAGTCCTAACCCCTCATCAAGGAAAAGTCTCTTTGCAACAGACAGTTTTGCAGAAAACTACAACCAATCAAGATGCGGACTTGTGGAGGCCAGTCCCAACAGATACATCTATAAGACAATCCTGCACCTCAAGCTCAGGTAACATCAAGGAAGGGGAGGCAGGAGATTTGAAAAGCCAGACAACAGGGCATTTGCTGCGAGACTGTATCTTCTAGAAATGTCAGAAGCCACACCCATAAAGTCTGAACAAGAGTAGAACATGGAATAAACATGCTAATGTGGAGAGCGGGGTAAGTCCCTGAAGCCTCAACCCTAGACAAAGAACTACAGGCAACTAGGAATGCTGGGAGCAGGAGAAGCTGTCTTCGTCAGGGAACAGTACACTAATCTGTTCGCCGATTCCGATACCAAATGGTCAGTCCTGAAAACATATACATGTAAGTAACATTATATGGACTGAGCAGGTTTTATTTATGTATTTAGGAATATATATGTAGCAGTAGTTAACAAAAATGGGGCCATGAATTTGAATGCCAGCAAAGAGGCTGGGTTTGGAAGGAGGAAAGGGAAGGGAGAAATGTGATTATAATTTCAAAAAATAAAAAATAATTGTAAAGTGAGAGGACTTATATGATTACCACTGAAACAAGATACAGGCCACTTAGGGGAACAAAATGTGGTAAGTGCATGTGGTGGCTTCTGAAGGTCTGAGCAATGACTGTCTTATTTTAATCTGAGAAGTATACATGGGTTGATTCCATTCCTTCAACTATAGATATACACTTTATTCACTCTTTCCCAACGTTCTGATTACTTATCTAGATGGAAAATGTTTCTCCTAGACACCTAAATCGGCCATTCCCCTACTAGACAGCCAGCAACAAAGGGCCCTTACAAAGACTTGAAACCTTTCAAGAAAAGAGAGGTTGAGAAATGCAAAGGTCTCATCTGTCCACCTGGAAAGTACCAGGGAGCTGGTGGGATACAAGAGGGTTCCTGTAGGTGCTGGTGTCTGTGGCAGCACAGGAGGTAGAGATGAGTCCTCTCTAAGCCACCCGACAATGTAATGACAATCGATCTAAACACAGGAACTGGCAAAGTGAAACTCTTCAGCTGAGGCCTTAGAGGTTTCTATTTTCGGAGCACAGATTCAATAACTCTGAGTCAGTGTTCCGACGGTGGGAAAAGTACGGGCTTATATTGGTGGAAGCTGTTGGAGGTTAGGAAATGGGCTACACGGCTCTAGATGACAGAAGAAGACTAAATACACAGAATGGACTTGCATATAAGGAAACTGTCTGATAATCATTTGTTATGTGTTAAGCCACTGGGCACAAATAACGGTCATTCACCCTGGTCATTAAAGGTGCTTGTGATGAGAAGGGGGAGGGCTCAAAGCTCACAAGTCCTGCTTCCTTAATGGCTACCCCATTTTCTTCTTTTCTTTTTTTGGTTTTCAAGACAGGGTTTCTCTGTGTAGTTTTGGTGCCTGTCCTGGATCTCGCTCTGTAGACCAGGCTGGCCTCGAACTCACAGAGATCCGCCTGCCTCTGCCTCTGAGGTGCTGGGATTAAAGGTGTGTGCCACCACTGCCTGGCTTTTAAAGCTCTTTTTAATTGTACTTTCAAAATATTTTTTTCTTCTCACAAAATAAATAAATACTGTGGGGCAATCTGTAAACTCTGTTTTTTGTTATTTTTAGGGCCTGTAGTGGAAATTGCATCCCGACAGCCTTGGGAACAGCCACTTTTAATTTGTCTTTCCAACTTCTGGCCCCCATCCCCTTCACAGAATTTCCCCCTTTTACTTTTCTTCTGATGCTTCTCTGGAATATACAAGTTCTGGATGAGACTTCTTCCCACAAGTCTGCTCAGGACTACCCATGTACTGAGATGTCTTTGGACTTCAAAGCTGTCCCAATACCCTCCTGTACCTATTTACTGCCCCCCCCAAAGGGAACTAAAACAACAAAGAGAACAGGCCTGTACCTCAAAACTCTTGTGGGATCCTATATAGGAAATACAAAAACAGCATAGTCTTCATCAAGTCCTATTCATGGGCATGTCTGAATACATCAGCAAGAATTAGGAGGGCTTCATGTACTTTAACAGAGAAAATCATTGCTTGAGACAGCCTGGCTTCCTTTGTTGCTACACAATACTATATAGTACCTTCTGTCACAACTTTTTTTAGTCAAAATCTCAAAAAGAAAATAAGCTACTTGTTCCACGCTGAAGAAATACAATGAGAAGACAAACGGAACACGAACCCCATGGTTTCTGATTTAAAATATTTTTATTATTAAAAAAGTACAGTAATCAGACAGAACCAGATTGCTGAGTGCCCAGGCACCCACCCTGCCTGGGAGCCGCAGTGGGAGCTGCCGACTGAGCTGCGACAGAGGAACCTCTGGGTGGCCATGCTTACTGAGGCAATTCTCGAGAATCTTGAGCTACACAACAGATGAGGGAGTGCTCAACATCATCCCTCTGAACAAGAACAAGTATAAAATGAGCGAAAATAGGTGCTGCTCTAAAGCACTAAAACAAGGAGGCACAAACAGAAGAGTTATAGAGACTAATGCATAATATACTGTTTTAGAATTTCTTTAAATAATGACAAAACTCCAAGAAATCCCTTCACTGCAGGCTCCTTTCCCCACCACAAAAAAAAGTCAGTTTCTGGTACTGCTCTTCTGCTGTGGCCTCCTGTCAAAAACAGGGATGAACATCACTAGGGACTGTCTTCCCTTTTTATTCAGGAGTACAACGAAAACAGCACTGTATACAACATAGTTATAAAAGTAACGTCCAACACAGCTATTTGTACTGACCCTAGGAGACATCTACTGGAAGGGAAGGAGAATTTGTTAACAAAATAGTTATCTCTTCCCTTGCCCCCAACCCACCACCAGAAAAAAAGAAATGGAAAGTGATACCCAGTGTTTGAGAAACACCTACATAATTTCCATTCTCTTCCAGTCCACTCCCAACCCAACCATCCCACCCCACTCCCCTCCTACCTTTACTGTTTAATGTACAGTACACGCAGAAAGAGAAATTTTAACTGATGAAACGGAACTGACCAAAGACTGAAAAGCTTTGAGAAGTTGTCTTTGTGCTTCTGACAAAGTTATATGTAATGCAGTCCAACCAGAGTAAGAAAGGGAGAAAAATATCATTTCAAAACTATGTGTTTTGCCTCTTGTTTTATTTTAGGTCCTAGTACGTTTCGCATCTGGAAACAGTTGATAATCCTGGAGTCAGAGGATGTAGGGAAAGTGAGGATAACAGAACAAACAATACTGCTTCCAGTGGCCTCTCTTCATTGATCTTTCTTATTGACTTTAGCTGTTGACTAATGAGGGATAATCTCCTTTCCATAGGATAAATATAAGGTACTCTACTTAGCATCATAGTAATGAGTATAATACTTTCTCGCTCATTTAGAGATCACGCATCATTTTTTAAACATCTATTAATAAGAAGCCTCACAACACTCCTGTGAGGTAGATATGTGGATCCCCATTTTTAGATGGGTTAATAGAGGCACAGAGAGGTGATGTGACTTGCCTAAAAACTGGGGAAAATACAGAAGAGAGGCAAATCAGGATACCACCCAGTTGTCAGGGATCCATATTTAGTAGAGAAAAAGACAGTGCTAAATGTTTCTTTAAACTAGGCCCATGGTACTTTCCCATTTATCCCTTACTAGGAACTAACACACAATGGAAGATCAACAAGTTTCCTTGACTTCTTCAAAGTTAGGTCAATCACCAATGGTTTGTTTCATGTATGAGGAAGCATTTAGGGGCTAGGATAGAGTTGAGAATACAGATATCTCTAATTCAAGAATCTTGTAGATCACTCTGTTTCAAAGAATTGTTGAAGTTCTAAAAAAGGTTACTATCATGTACATAAGCACCAGGTTCTAGTTGATTGATTTTTCTCATGGGTATACGGGATAACACTTAAGACACTGTTAATATGTATATAAACTGGATTTCAACAATTAATTAATGCCAGAAGGGGGAGCAATGGTTGTCGCTGTTAGCATGGAAGGTTATGAAGATAACCAAGGATTGACGACAACTATATGAACTCATATATAGATAATAAAGATGATTACATATGGAAATGTTTATAGACATGTGCATATATATAACTATATATATATATATATATGCATATATTTCTTTGTTGTATTGGCTGAGAAGGCCTTGAAGAAATAATATCCCCAAAGTAGCAAACCTACATAGTGCACAGATCCTGGTTTCTGATACAATTCTTCAATAAAAGGAATTAGAACTCATTGAAGAAATGTCTGGTTATGAGAGTGCCCTCCACAAAACAAAAACAAGATGAACCTGAAACATCTTGAGACACTAAAAATTAAGCACATGCTGAAAAAAAATGATGGGGTAGGTAAAAAAGGCTTAGGAATCAATTCAAAAGAGCTCCTAACAGTCAAAGCTACAATTTGGCAACAAAATAAAAGTTGCATTGGATTATAAAATAAACTATAAAATAAATATCAATGAGTCCATGTTGGCATAAATAAACAACTATGTAAATAAATAAATGGGGAGGAGTCAAAGCTCCCATGCAGAAGAATTCCAAAGAATTTATCTAGACACTTGCTCTCAAGGACATGGTACATAACTCACCATTTCCATGTGTGGGCTGCTGTGCTTCCTTCCAGAGAGTGTAGTATGATGATAGGAAAAGGGGTACATGGGAGAAATTTCATAGATATTATCCCAGCCATGTGACTGGAAATACCATAAAGAATGATAAGTCACAGAAATATGATGTTATGAAAATAGTAACTCATTTGTGTGGTTATTCAGGCCCAAATCCATTAACCTCGTCTTTTCATGAGAAAAACAGCAAACAAATCCCAAGTGAAGAACATCCTCCCAAGGTCCTTGAGAGTAAGGAAGTCCAAGAAACTGTCACAACCAAAGGAGTTGGGACTCCCTCCTAAATCAAAGCAGTACTTTGATGAGATATTAAAACAGAAAGTGGACAGTTGGAATAAAGCACTGACTGCAGTTAACATTAATGCATCAATATTGTTTCACTAATTGTAACAAGTGTACCATACTAATGTAAGATGTGGAGTAAACAGGAACTCTGTTCTACCTTCACATTTTTTTCTGAAAACCTATAAGAGTTCCAACATGGAAAGCTTATTTAAGAAGAAATTCTTTTTACCAACATCTGTGTTCTGCACATAAGGAACTCCACTAATCCATCAAACCAATTTACATTTCCTATATTTCACAATGGCAATTATCAATAGTTGTGTTCAGCTTCCAGATGTCTACAGAAGGAAGAATTCCACTGTAATAAATTCCTGACTATTATCCATCCCTATGAGATTTCCATGTCCTAGGCAAATGTCATACTAACAGTGTTTTGCTGTTGTAAAACCCATTCAACTTAGTTAAAGCTCAGATGTTCCCCAAGAGAGATGCATTTCATTTCCTTTGTACCCCACCATCTAGCAAACATGCATGTGCTTTTGGTGCAGTAATTCTACACTGCATTGTGTTGAAATCAATTTACTCTGTGAAGTTTTCTACATCATGACACATTTTTAAAGAATATGTTTGTAATTGGAAAGACTTTACCATTTTTGGAAAAGGGGGCAATGAGAATAGGGTTAGAATTGTTTCTGGACTAAAGACAATGAACAAGCATTTGCACAGTCAATTACCACTCTACAGAAATAGATTTGAAGAAAGGCTCAGAGATGCCGGGAGCATCGATATCTAGGATCCTAATTTGATCACCCTTCTGAGTACTATAATTTGATAATGCTCATTTGTAAATATATGTCTCAGTGTAAATATTGTGACCATATGTCTCAATATCCTGAAGTCTAAGGGGCACATGCCAATTCTGAACTCTGGAAAGCAAATCTCAGGATCCAAAGTGGAAAAAAAGTGGGTAACCCTTTGGACTCTGTTCTATAATATTGTACCAACTACTCAATTATAAGCTTAAGCCCATGCATGGTAGTAATATCCATTTATCAATCTGTCATACAATGTGGTCCCCATGAATAGACTTGCCCTAGATATTTATTAGTGCTTTAGTAATTAGTATACAGCTTGGAACTTGTATACCATAAGTCAGGAAAAATCCTGTATGAAGATAATGATAATAGCAAAACCTACACGTCATCTGGAAAAGTACAAGTAGGCCTTAATTTATGGAGAATTTATAGTCTGGAAAGACACTGAAACTTGAAACAAGGTAAATTTAAAAAAAGCCTGGAAATATCAAACTATGAGAATAGAAACACTGTGTGCGTAATGTTAACTGGCAATGACCATAAGCACATTCTACTTACTTTGTCATCAACTATATATGAATTTTGAGTGATTTAAAGTTTTCTGAAGTATAACATATAAAATTGGACAAATATTGCAACCAATCACATAATTTTTTATTTAATTTGGTTTACTAGTGTGATCCCTGGGAGAAGGAGTACATAGGTCTATATAAGGCCTCAAAGGAAATATCTGGAGAAAGAATCGAACCCGTATTTGCCTCATCTGTAAGATGGGAGGGATGGGTAGAAGTAGACAGGACCCCTTCTGGATGGTAGAGTTCTAGGATTTAGCTAGAAAGGACAGCCACGGGAGGTAGTAACCTGAAGTATTCAAGCTAGAGCTTTGAATATCTGCCGAGAAAAAAGGTTTAGTATGAAGACAACCTTTAGGCTGCGTCCTATCCTAATGATACAAAGCCCCTCTCCTTTTTTCCCAGGAGAGGAAATATGCCACATGGAGGTAGATCTGAGGTCCAGGGCCAGGAACAGAGCGTTTTATGCCCCAGAGAATAATAGGAACAGTCTGATTGGGCAACCAAATGTATATTCTGCATCCTGCTGTTACATCTAAAATAAATGGCTTGGGTATTGGCAGCAGTTGTAAAACATTAAAAATGATTTTATATGTCAGTGTCAGAAAAAAAAAAATCTTTTCTATCTCATTAAAAACAGAAGAATGAGTGCCAAAAAATGGCATGAAGTAAACAAAATTCCTTTAGTGCAACCCCTCACCTCTGTATAACGTGCTCAGTGTGCAGTTTCTCTCAGGTAATACGCTGAATGGTTGCTTTATGTAAACAAAAGAATAAACAGTACAGCGGAGCCCATCCAAAGCGCCGTTTCAACAGGCTGCCCTTTGAATGAGGTTTGGGATTAACAGCAATTCTAATACCTTATCCAAATAATTGCTCAAAGGGTCCTCCAAGGTCTGCTTTATCCTGTCACTGCCTGACATATTTTCCTAGAATACTTCTCCCTACTGATCTGTCTTTCTGTGCTTTGAATATTTGTCCAAACTTAACCTAAAAAGAATGTAATTGTGCCATAAAACCTTTAATTATAAAGGAGCATGAGGAGGAAGAGGAGGTCGAGAAAAATCCCTTCATTTCTTTGATGGACTTCAAAAAGGAGGGCTGGTACTGTCTGTAAACCAAACTGGTAAGAACAAGTAAAACTGGATCTACAAAACCTTCACGGTTAGAATGAGACTCTGTATTTCAGACTCAATTCTCTGTAAATCTGACCAATCAACTCCACTGTTATGCCCCTTGTACCTATGACTTTGAAAAAAAAAACCCTCATTTTAGGACATTGCTAAATGACTTTAAGTACTGGTTACAGTATATATACTGTATCCATACATATTTATATATGGATAAAAGTTTTTAAAAACAAGAGAAAAGTGGCAGGGGGAGCAGCGGATGTTTGTTCACAGCCTTGAGTTTGATTCCTGTTTTGTTTGTTATTGTAGGAAAAATGTCTATAACATAGCATGAGGGGTCAGGGAGGGCAACCATGGGCGCCGCACTAGAATTCAACCCAGGAAGAGGTTGAGAAAACTGAAGTCTGGACAGTGAAGAGGTGAAAGCGGAATATGAAGAGCCGCATGGGAGACCGGCTAACTTTTGCTCCAGTCTCATCAACCTGGCTCAGTAGGCTGTTCTAACCCCCAATCACAGGGGCAAGTTGTAGTCAAAGAGGCAAACAGGGTCTCAAACTCAGCAGATACTCAGGAGACCAGTAGAGGACGTCAGCTGTGGCCTGGGATATTCACATGGTGTCATGACGCCGGCGGTGTAGGGACAAGTGGTCAGATCGAGAAAAACTGCGGTTGCAGTCTGTGCACCGGAAGGGCTTGATGCCTGTGTGCTTACGGAAATGGCGGGTGAGCTCATCCGAGCGAGCAAATTTCCAGGAGCAGCCATCCCAGGTGCATTTGTAAGGCTTCTCTCCTGCAGGGGGAACACAGCAAAATGAAGGTAATCAGGAAATGACTGACTACCAGAAAGACAGCAGAATACATAATTTATATTTATATCAAAGCTTTAGTTCAAAAGTAAGACAATCACCTTGAAGGGGCACTCTCATTCACCTTTTTAACTAATAAGTTTAACAAATAAAAATCATATTGCGCCAGGCGGTGGTGGCGCACGCCTTTAATCCCAGCACTCGGGAGACAGAGGCAGGCAGATCTCTGTGAGTTTGAGGCCAGCCTGGTCTACAGAGCAAGATCCAGGAAAGGCGCCAAAGCTACACAGAGAAACCCTGTCTTGAAAAACCAATAAAAAAATCATATTGCTTGTCTTCTACAAGTTTCAAAATATGCACACACTGTAGACTGGTTAAATCTAGCTGGTTAGCATTACTTCACATACTTACCATTTTTTATAGTAAGGATACTTAAAAATTTACCCAACTACACACTGCTGTTTGCAGAAGGTCTAAACTTAGCCTGAGACGGTAAAGTGGAGGGAACATGGGCTCTCAAAGAGTCTTTGAATCCTGCTTCTACCACACTAACCATATAGTAAATAGTCTATTTTCTCAAATCTAAACAGAGGCAAAAATATCTCACAAGGTTGTTCAAAACATTTTAAAAGGTAGACAGTGGAGGCTAGACATAGGAAAGCATGCCTGCAACCCTAGCACTCAGGAGGGAGAGGCAGGAGGAACATTACAAGTTTGAGGCCAAGCTAGACTACATAGTGAGTTCCAGGCTATGCAAGGCTATACAGTGAGGTACTGTCTCAAAAGAAAAACGGGAAAAAAAAGGTCAGATTGCTAGTCTAAACTGTATTAGCTACATTTCTCCTCTCTGTGATCAAATGCCTGGCAAGAAGTAAGTTAGGGAAGAAAGGACTTATTCTGGATCACAGTTTGAGGGCATGCAGTGCATCAAGGCAAAGTAAACATGGTGGCAGCAGCCTCCATTACGTCGGGAACTTGGTTCAGCGTGTACTCTAGATCGGGAAGCAGAAAGAGGACAGAAAGTGGAGCTGGGCTGTAAGCCTACCTCCCAGAGATTCACTTCCTACAGCCAAGCCCCAACTGCCAAAAATTCCACAACCTCCCCCAAACAGCTCGAGCAGCTGGGGGCCAAGTTTTCAAACACAGGAGCCTGTAGGCGGAATTTGACATGCAAATTGTAACACAAATCCAGGTGGCTGCTACTTTCTACTCCACTCCACTAGTCCAACTACATTCTTTCATCTGATGCTTCTTAATGAACAATCTGAAATAAAGCCATCCACAAGAAGACCATGCGATTCAGTGGGAAGAGCACCGGATGAAAGCTGGCTCGCTTCTGTGGAAGGTCGGAAACTCGTACATGGAAAGGAATGGGGCGAGCTGTCGAGCCCAAGTAGTTTAAATAGCTCCATGCTCAGACTCTTAAGGTTATAACCGGATTATATATGGGACATGAATGCTCAGGAGAGAAAGAAAAATGGCCAAAAAAAGTAGTATAGGAAGAATTACCATAGCGCAATCCCATTATATGCATAGGTCACATACCATACATTTGTACACTCAAGATAAAGGAAACATCAATACACTGAAATAGAAATTATAGAAAAAGTATCAACAATGATAAAAGTAACGGTGAAGGATGGTAGGAGGCCTTTTTTAAAATAACTTTTTGTACTGCTTGAATACTTTAAAAACATGATATAGACATATATTATATATAAAAAAAATAAGCCAGGAGGGGTAGTGAACACATGTAATCCTAGTACTAAAGAAATTGAGGTAGGAGGTCCAAGAATTTGAGGCTAGACTGGGTTCCTAAGTGAAATTATGTTGCAAAAGTTAATTAATTGGGGCTGGAGAGATGGCTCAATGGTTCTGAGCACTGGATGCTCTTGCAGAGGACCCAGGCTCAATTCCCAGCACTCACATGGTAGGTACCTCACCACCACCAGTAACTCCAGTTACAGAGGATGTGATGCCTTCTACTAGCCTCTGTGGCACCAGGCACACACATGGTGCACAGACATACATACATGGGAAACACCCATATGCATAAAATAAAAATAAATAAATCTAACTTTTTTTTTCGAGACAGGGTTTCTCTGTGTAGCCCTGGCTATCCTGGAATTCACTCTGTAGACCAGGCTGGCCTCAAATTCACAGAGATCCGCCTGCCTCTGCCTCCCGAGTGCTGGGATTAAAGGCGTGCGCCACCACTGCCCAGCCTAAGTATTTTTAATTAAAGGAACTATGTTATATGGACAAATAAATATTAACTGTGGTTAAATCTAGGTCATAAATCATAGAAATATTTGTTTTTCCTTAATATGCTTCTGTTTCTCATCTACTATGATGAGTATGTATTATTTTATAATCAGAGACAACAATGCAGACACAGAGTGTATCAGGATTCTGACAGTTTGCTCTTCTATCCCTCTTTTCCCCATTATAAAATTTCCTGGGCATTTCCTTTTTTCTGTTTTCAATTCTGGTGGCAATCTGATTCGCATCTTTTCGCTTACTGCTTGCCACCTGCTGACCCTCCCAAGTGTTCACTCACTAACTGGACGTACAGCTGTTACATAACAGACAGCAACAGAATGGAGTCCAGTCTAGCTCACATTTGGAGTATTACCCGGAAACTATTTGGTTGATCAAAGATGGTACTTACTGATAATTTCAATATTCAGAAATGGCCACATAAGCCTCTAAGAAGAATGACACCCAGCTGAATGTATCAAATGTATTAAGACTAAAGATAACCTGGGTGTAGTGGTACACTACCTTTAATCCCAGACCCACAAGGCAGAAACAGGGAGATCTCTGAGCTCAAAGTCAGCCTGCTCTACATAGTGAATTTTAGCCTAGGCAGGGCTACCTTGTCTAACTCTCTCACCAAACAAAAGAAAAGACTGGAAGGTTACACGTGCTTATTAACATCTAGAAAGAACAGGATTTCAGAGAACGTAGAGAGTGCAAATGAGATTTTCTTTTGCTTTGATTCAATTCAGTAGTATCCCATCCCCACACTTCACAACAGCTTTGCTATGTATAGACTTTATTGTAATTGCTCAAGGATTTCTCCTAGGAATTCCTATTTTCAGTACACCAGGATGAATAATAACCAACTTGTTAAAGTAGTGCCACCATGTGGTGATCTGAGCTCACTGCTGGAGCACCCATTCAAAATAGTAGTGCAGGAAGAAGTCCATCTTTCTAGTTCAAGATCTGCCTTTCATCATGGTTAAAGAAGCTTTTGTTCAAGCTAATGTCAGTGTTATCTAGACACCAAAACCTGATGAGGACATATGAAAAAAAAGCAAGGTATAGGCCAACAGCCTTTATGAACTTAGACACGAAAGTCCTCAATAGATTATTTTCAAACTGAATTAAACAGCATATCAAAAACAATAAGGCATGGTTAACTTGATTAAATTCTGGTATGCCAGGATGGGTCAACATACACACATCAATAAATGTAACACAGTACATAAATAGGATCAAAGATAAATATCCCATGATAATCTCAATAAATGCAGGATAGGACTCTGATACAGTTCAACACATATTCATAATATAAGCCTTGAAGAAATTAGGAACAGGAGGATCACATCTCAACATGATAAAGGCTATATACAGCAAATCTATAGCCAGCATAATACTGAATGAGGAGAAACCGGAAACATTGCTTGTACAATAAAAAAGACAAAGATGTTGATGTCTGCAATCCATACTCCTTTTGAATACAGTGCTTGAAATTTTATACACAGCAATAAAGCAAGACAAGAAAAGAGAGAGAGAGAGAGAGAGAGAGAGAGAGAGAGAGAGAGAGAGAGAGAACTGAGATAGTCTTTCTTCACTTGGTAAAGGTGCTTGTTGCCAAGCCTGATGACCTGAGTTTTATTTTTCTAGTAATAAAAATATAGGTAGTACTTAAAAAGAAACAAAACCAAAAGCAGAACCTGACAGTAAATATTGTTATGACTCTTCTGCATCCCTTTATCATCACTTCATTAACACCATGCTATAGTTAAACAGTGAACCTGAATGATATCCTAAAGCCCCATTCCAGTACTAACATGACTATTTTACAAGATATATAATAAAATGATGTGGAAAATGTATGTGTACTACAGCCTTTTAATTTTCTTTACCTTTCCTTCTTTTTCTTTTCTTTCTTTCTTTCCTTTTTTTTTTTTTTTTGGTCTTTCAAGACAGGGTTTCTCTGTGTTAACAGCCCTGTCTGTCTGGGAACTCTCCCTGTAGACCAGGCTGGCCTCGAACTCACAGAGATCTGCCTGCCTCTGCCTAAGTGCTGGGATTAAAGGTGTGCGCCATCACTGCCTGGCTCACTGGAAATTTATATGGATGAACAAAAGAAAGTGACTGGATTATGAGGGTGATAATTAATGCTTAATCTATTCACGCTCTTAAAACTTTATACTCTTCATAAGTGATGGAAAACACGAGGCAGGGCCTGCGTAGAGGAAGTAGATCAGTGGGCACATGAAGGTATAGAAACTTAGAAGGCATATCTTGTCCATGGCCTTTCTTTGTTTATCTCCGTGTCTCTTGTACGCCACCATGTGGTGAGTCACCCTGCTCCCTGACATGCTCTGCCCCTCGATGTTCTGCATCACTGGAAGCAACAGAGACAGGTGGCCATAGACTAAAACCTCTGAAATCAGAAACCAAAATAAATTTTCCTCTTTAAAGAAAACAAAACAAACAAAAAAAAAGTCAATTTGCTCAAATATTTAGTTAAAATGATAAGAAGTATCTAATGCACATATATTGGGGAAAGATCATTCCTGACAATAAACGGTGTTGGGAAAACTGGATATCCACATGCAAAGCATTGAAAATATATCCCTATTTCTCACTAAACAAAGCGCAACCCAAAGTGGTATAGAAACCAATGTCAGAACCATAATTTTGAAATTCTTAGAGGAAAATATGTAAGACACTTCAATGACTCTAATAGCTCAGGAAATGAAATCAAGACACACGGGGTGATAACAAATTAAAATGCATCTGCAGAATAAAGAAACAATAGAAGACACTGACAACCTATAGAATGAGAGAAAAATCTCAGCTAGTTATGCATATGAGAAAGGATTAACATCCAAAATATACAAAGAACTCAAAACAGTTAACAGCAAATGAGTAATTCACTCACTAAATGGAAAAATGGTGTGAACACACACTACTGAAAATAAGAAACACAAATACTCTAGCAGATCCATGAAAAAATGCTTGCTTTTCAGCCATTACAGATGCACAAAAGAAACCTAGACTCCATCTTGGCCTGGCCAGAATGGCTAGTATAATAAATAAACAAATATACAACATGCTGAGAAGAATATGGCGAAAAAAGATTCCTGATGTACTGCTGGTAGAAAAGTAAACTAGTACACAGACAACTGTACGGAGATTCCTTAAACAAGACTAAAAAATATGATGAGTGTGCTATCGGATGCTTATAATCCCTGCACTTGGGAGATGGAGGCAAAAGTATCAGAAATTCAAGGTCAGCCTCAGCTACATAGCACGTTTGAGGTCAGAGGTGGCTACAGGAGAGATCCCATGTCAAAAAACCAAAAACAACAAAAGAAAACCAAACAAAAATCGAAGGGGCTGGGGATGTAGCGAAGTTGGTAGAGTACTTGCATACCATGCATGATGCCTTGGGTTTATTTAATACCTAGCACTGTAAAACTAGGCACAGCAGCACACTTACTTGGAAGGTAACTGGCTTTCTGTTCTGCTAGACTGTTTCAGGTTTTAGGATAAGAACAAGAGAGCCCAAACCCATAAGTGGTCTCTTCTTTGTAGTTTGTCTCTCCCTCCCCCCAAACCTCATCTCGTAGTATCTGTGTAGGCGAGTGTGTGTGCTGGAGCTGGAATAGTGGGGGGCGGGGGGGGCAGACCTGTATGGATTCTGCGGTGAGCTTTCAGGTGAGAGCTTTTGGTGTACACTTTGCTACATCCTGCAAAGTCACACTGGTGAATCCGTCTTCTCTTTAAGTCGAGAGAGTCTTCTCCCTGCATTTGGGCCACTGTTGCTGGACTAAGAAAGAAAGAGAGAAAACCAGTTACAGTGGTGGTATTTCATACCGTCTTATCATTGATGCAAATTTCATGCTAGCTCCCCAAGAGAAGAAATAATTAGAACAACGTAAGCAATTCTTTTAACTAGGGCCAGTCAGCTTAGGAAATGTAGCTCCCTAAGAAAGCACTGGAGGTGGAAATTTTTCCTTGAGTAGCTACGTTGTCAAACAGTGTGAACATTTCACTTCAACAAGTGCCATTCTTGTGCTTAACAAAATACATTTTTCATATAACATGTTTGCTCAATGCAAGCTAATAGCTTCTGATTCGTTTCAAGATTAAAAGACCAGGCTATTTTAAATTTATAGAGAAAAACACTACAAAAGTATAATTTATAGAAAATTGGAAGATTTTTTTTTCAAGGATAGAATTCGTGACATACAATTAGAATGTAATTCTATCATAACATGCATGAACATACACATGTCTGTACACACACTTAGATAGTTCTTAGGAAAGCAGCTAGCTTGTATATTGTTTTCCTCAAACTTTTATTGTTGTGTTCTGTTAATTCTAATGCTATGTGTGCGCGCACTCACACACACACACACACACACACAGTTCCAACTTACTCTTGTTGAAATCCCTGCAGACTCTGTAAGGCTGAGGATCCACTCTCAATAGCACTCTCCTCACCATCACTTGGAAACTCCAGTGGAGACATGGAGGTGGGGTCAACTTTGACTAAACACAAAGAAAGGGAGCACTGTAGACAAGGATGTATGCACCCCTACAATTATTTTCACCTCAACAATCATTTTCAGGATTCCCAGCTTGGCCCATATTAAGAAGTGGAAAATAGAAAAATCATTAAAGAAAGAAAGAGGAGAAAGACAGTAATGGCTAAACAATTATTTTTAGCATAAGAAGGGACAGAGGTGTCTTGGAAGGAAGGGTAGCAAGAATTGTTCTTGCATCACCAGAATGTGAATTTCCCTAGGACACGATCTAAGTGTGATATATCCATCCCTCTACCACCAGCTCCTGGGAAAGGGTCTGTAGAAAGGATGGATGGGTTGCACGTATTTTGGGAACACTGAAGTCTTTGAACAGTTCCCTGACTGTCTTAAGAGAATTCCTAGGATTATCCCAACAATTACAACACTCAAAGCTGATTGTAATATTACATATATGGTGATGATAAATATTTCAAACCATGTCAGAAGCAAGAGATTTTCTTTGATCATTTCTGATTATGAATTAAATAAATGTAATTCTGGAAAGGGACCTATTGTTGAGGACAATGAAAGATGGAACTTAATTTAGACCTTCTGAATTCTGAGCTCACTTCAAAAGTGAAGTAAGACAGGCCTGGTGACACAGGCCTGTAAGCCCAGCTACTCAATAGGCTGAAGCAGAAGAACCGTGAGTTCAACATCTGCTTGGGTAATATGTTTAAAACCAATCTGAGTACATTCATGAAACTGTATCTCAAACAAAAAAAATTTTGCTTTTGTTTTTGTTCTTTTAATCAAAAAGAAGCCTGGGGTGTAGTTCAGTAGTAGAGTACTTGTTTAATATGTGTGAGACCCTAAATTAAACTAGCAGTATCACAAAACATAAATGACAGCATCTGAAACTCTGAGCAAATTTCCAACCTTCTTTGTTCAACAAATGATCTGTAGCTAAACAACTACTAGGGAGCCCTGTGGAGGGTGTCTCTGGAGAGGTGCACAGACACATCATAAACGTCTTCTTGAGAATTCCCAACTCAGTTAGGAAAAATGGCCTCATACTCTTGAAATCAAATAAAATCTTAGAAGCAATAAAACCTTAAAAGGAAGGTCACAGATGTCAAAGAAAGGGCTGCCCAGGAAACGTGGATACATTGCAGAGACTTTTCTGTAGAGACCAAAGCTAAGCCTGGCTAAGTTACGGTAGTGATAGGAATACTGAGTTTTCTCACAAAGCATTCCAAACTATTTGTTGTTAGTTTGTGTATTAACTCAAATTTTTGCATTTTGCTTTAAAACAGCAATATTTTAAATATGCTTTAAATTATTTACTATCAAATAATAGTATATAAGAATCCTAGGAAGATACATAATAGTTCACTCAAGAATAGGCATCCCTGTTTGAGAAACATGGACTATCTCAAAGAGATCAATTATAGGTTCTTTTGTGACAAGGTCTCCTTATGTAACCCAGACCACAGTGTGGCCTGGAACTTGGAGTCCAAGGCTAGCCTGGGATTCATAATCATCCTGCCCCAGCCTCTCAAGTGCTGAGATTATAGATATATGCCAAGATACATGGCTCATTATACATTCTTAAGCATTATATAGACATTATTTTAAAACCACTTTCTAAAAACCGATAATTACAACAAGTCCCCTTTGAAACAGTGTCGCTCCAAACTGGAAGAGGTGAAAAGTGACAAGATAGAATGGCCCAGAAAGAAAGTTCTCTGAAGGCAAGTGGCAGTAGGAAGCTGTCAACCCCAGCCACACTCACCTGATCCAGCATTTTTGCCATCTCCTCCAATGAGTGGGACAGTAATCGCTGCAGGATTCCCATCTGCAGGCAAACTGGTATAGACCATCGGCAAAGACTGAACCACCAGCGGGATCGTCTTTAGTCCACCCATCTTATTTGGCAAACTGACTGAGGGGATAGTGTGAATCACATGTAAGATCGGCTGGCCCCCGGTCCCCTGAGAGGAGGCCAGGATAGAGCCTGGAGTGAGAACGGTAGGGATGGTTGCTGAAGTGCCCGTATCAGATGAAGTAGACACCACGATGGCTTGGGCTGCAGCCGGTGGCCTGGGAGGCCGTATTGGAGCTTGCAGCATGCTAGCAGGCTGGAGAGGAGCCTTCGGTTTGTGAAAGGAAAGATCGACCGGCTCCACCTGGGGCAGGTTGAAATCACTAGCCAGCAGCTCTTCTGGAGGCTCGATCTTGATATCATTAAACAAGGCTGGGTTCTCCATCGAGCTGGCATCCAGGAGTGGGGAAGAAGTCATATTTCTTCTGTCTACTGTCACAGGGGGATGTCTGATCTGAACAGGGCCGGCGACCTAAAACAAACGATTCCAAGGGAAGACAGCCACCGTTAGTGCTCTAAAGAGACATAGGAACAATGAAAGGAAGAAATCTCTACACTCATGGAAAAGATACATCATACTGAAAGAAATGAGACCATAATACACTAAAGAATAAAAAGGAAAGAAAATGCTACTAAGCACCAGTGTTAAGTATTGGCAATCAAATATCTAAAATGAAATTCAATTTTAACTTGAAAAATCCAATGAAAGGATATTCATTTAGAAAATAGCTCCTCGATAAAAAAAAAAGCAGAAACCGTTACACCATCCTCTTGCAAAAGCATTGTGCTAAGTCCAGTGACAGCAGCTATGAATAAGACACAGCAATGATATTCTTATTTATGAATAAGACACAGATAAGTATATACTAACTATGATATTAGAATAATATGAGTAGCTTATAAGTCATACCAAAAGAAATGATGTGACATATGAACAGGAAGCCTCAGAGAAACAAATGAGGAAGTAGATGTAGCACAGTGGTACATCCCTTGCCTGGCAAAATCAAAGCCATAGGTTCCATTTCCAACACTAAAAAGGTTTGTTGGGGTGGCAGGGAGTGGGGGTTAGGTAATTTCTTCTATCTAGACAGGGAAGGCTTTAAAGAGAAGGTGACATTTTAGATGAGTCAGAGAATTAATAGGCTTTCTCAAGGAGAGAAAAAAGGTAAGAATAACACTTCTATTTGCAATGGTATACTAGCAGATACTATGCACCGGGAATATGATACAGTGTAATTAGTTGAATTTACATGCAAGATTAAAATCTGTAAATTCTAAATTGTGGCATATTTAAAAATAAATGCACATCTATAATCCCATCAATTGGGAGGCTGAAGCAGGAGAGGCTGAAGTGAGAGGGTCATGAGATTGAGGCCAGCCTGGGATACACAGTAAGACTTGGTCTACATACATACATACATACATACATACATACATACATACATACACACATACACACACACACACACACATGCATACACAGAGAGATAAAGATATAGAGACAGAAACAGAGACAAAGACAAAGACATTTGCACTCCCATGTCCACTGCAGCTCTGTTCACAACTGCCAAGGCATGGATGAAACCTGTCTAGCAAGTGATAAAAGGATAAAGAAAATGCGATACATATATTCAATAGAATAGCATTCATCCTCAAAAGGAATACAACCCTGTTATTAGTTCAACACAGATGGAATTGGAGATCTCGATTTTAAGGAAAATAATGGAGTTACTGAAAGACAAGCACCACACGATCTTACTCATGTGTGGAATCTTTAAACAAACAAACAAACAAACAAAAAACTCAATTTGTACAAGTTGGGAGCAGAAAAATTGACTTCCAGAGCTTAGAGACAATGGAAGGAAGATGGTCAAAGAATGATCAATGGGAACTAAGCTATGGTTTGATGAAGCAAAGAGCCCTGGGATCCTCTCACATAGTGTACTATGTGGCTACATATAACACTGGGCCGGAGAGACGGCTCAGCTGTTAAGAACGCTTACTGCTCTTGCAGAGGACCTAATTTCAGTTCCCAGCACACACACAGCAGCTCACAAGTCACCTGTGATTTTAGTTTCAGGGGGACCAAACAGCCTCTTCTGCCTCTAAAAACACTACAAGCACATGTACTCATGCAGGCCCACATACATAAAAACTTAAAAAACAGAAAAGATTTGGAAAAATTTCACTATAAAATGATAGATGTTGGAGGAAATGGCTATGTTTAATATTAGCTGCACACTATACAATGTATACAGATATCCAAACATGACATGGCACCACACTAAAGTGTATGAACTTTGTTTTCAATTCATCAGTTTAAATACATTCAAAAATACTAACAAATGGTCATTGAATGTGCAATATAAACATAAAAGTCCCAATCTAATTAGAATTATTTCTAAAAATTTGATCAAATCAGAAGCCAAGGATGCTGTGTACTGTGTATACAATAGCCAAGCAATATAAATCATGAAAATGGCCTTGGAGATGGCAGTGCCACTTACTTCAGCCAATAATCAGAGCAAGCCTCTATTCTCTGACAATATATGTGAGTTATGGAAGTCTGAAACAAGGAGAGATGTTCAAAATGCTTACTTTATATGCAGTTGAGCAAGTCTACTGTTAGATTTGGAAAGAAGGGGGAAGGGAGTTCAAGAAAAGGCTGGGTAATAGAAGAGCAGAGTGACATGAGCAAAACTATTAGATTTGAATTTGCTCAATGACAGGAGAGCAGCGAGAGAGAAATGATACTGCATTTAAAGAAAAGAAACAACAGAACTGTGTTGGTAAGACATTTGGAGAAACGTGACTGCTGACGGAATATATGGTATTAAAGAGTTTTTTAATTATAAGCTATGATAATGGTACTACAGTAGTAACCATTTTTTAAAAATTGAGAGAAAATAAGGCGTGAATTCTGAAAAGGATGAGAAATATGGAGAAGTGGTGTCCTCTTGCTGTGACTTCACTTACAGACCACTCCCTTAAAAGCATTCTAGGAATGAGCACGGGCACAGAGAAAGAATGTATATTCAATCTTCAGAACTTAGCCAGACTACCATCTGCTCTTCTTTTCTGCTTGCTGAGACATTGTTTTCTTGACTTGCAAGCCCCCATCTCAACTCAGGCCTGTGTTAATCTTTTTTTTTCAATTGTTCTTTCATATGCTCTCTTCCATCAGTCATAAGCATCTCAGGCAATCCGTAACTCATGTGTGCATTAACCCCGCTGTGAAAGGGGCTCAGGAAAATCCCGTTAGCAGGAGCAGGTGTGAGCCAGGTAAGATCAGAGAGATGTAGTTATCAAGAACTGCTTCACTGTGGCGAAAGAGATGGTTCGGGGGTTAAGAGCACTTGGTGCCCATGCAGAGGACCTAAGGTTCAGTTCTCAGCACCCACATCAGGTGGCTCACAACTATCTGTAACTCTAGTTCCAAGGGATCCAATGTCCTCTTCCAGCCTCTGCGGGCACACGCACACACATGGTGTATACACAAACAGGCACGCGCGCGCGCATACACACACACACACACACACACACACACACACACACACACACACACACAAACCATTTTTTAAAAAAGAACCATTTTACTAAACACCTCTTTACTGACTTCTGAATCTACCAAATCAATTTAAGCTACCATTTTTTCCTATATTTCTACTTGTCTCTGCCTGAGTAGGTTCATTCACTGATAAAAGAAGTAGAATCCAATGAATCCATAAGCAGAACAGCAAGGCCACCTATTTCCATAATTTTTTTTAACCATGGCTTTTGATGATACTGAAAAAGGAGCTACAATAAAAGTTGTCAGATGCAAGCCAGGCGATGGTGGCACACATACCTTTAATCCCAGCACTTGGGAGGCAGAGCCAGGTGGATCTCTGTGAGTTCGAGGCCAGCCTGGGTTACAGAGCAAGATCCAAGACAGGCACCAAAACTACATAGAGAAACCATGTCTTGAAAAACTACAACAACAAAACAAAACAAAACAAAACAAGTGTAATATTTGGGCTGGAGGGATGGCTCAGAGGTTAAGAGCACTGACTACTCTTCCAGAGGTCCTGAGTTCAATTCCTAGCAACCACATGATGGCTCACAGCCATCTATAATGGGATCTGGTGCCCTCTTCTGGCCTGCAGGCAGAACACTATATACACTATTCTTGAGTGAACATAATAACTACAGGTTTGAAAGCCCATATGGAAACTGATATAAAGCTCTGCCATGAGATTTTTCTCTTTAACCCGCCATTTTCCTTCTTCAATATTGTGGGACAGTTTCAGGTTTTGAGTGTTCTCTAGTCAATAATTAACCACTCTTCAAAGAAAGAGAATGGCTACTTTTGCCATCTGTTAGTTTAAAGCTTGAAGCTACAGCTTTCCAGGATTTCTGATTCTGTGGAGAAGGCTGTGCATGGAAAGCCCAAAAACTTGGGAGCGGTTTTCGAGAGCTTTTACTTTCCACAGTCCTCCTTACAGGCCCAGGATCCTAATCAGGCTTTTATTTAAAAAAAAAAAAAAAAAGAAAGAAAGAAAAAAGAAAGAAAAAAAAAGAATATTTGAGTTGGCATTTTTCTTAAGTTCATTATTGACAAATTACCAGAGATATGGAGAAAGGCAATTCTACAAAGAAATCTAAAAAAAAAAAAGGTCACTTTTATAAACATTTAAGCTCTTAGACATCTGATGAAGACAGCCTTGACTTTAGGACAGTAGGGGAAATCAACTGAGGGGAACTAACCTGTTCCTTCCCCTTTATCTGAAACAGCTCTGATGTGGAGCTTTAAAGTAGGAAGGCAAGACAAGAAAGAAAATGAAAGAACAAAATACTGCAGGCAGCGCAGGAAGTAGAAAGGAGAGGAAGGAGGGTTGTCATGGTAACAAGATAAAACCCAGGCTCCTCCCCAAGAGAAAGATAAAAGCTGTTTTTGTACACAGGTCTCTTCTAGCTTTGCTCTGGGTTTAGACTAATCATTTTCATGCCTGGGTGCACTTGTGTGTGCGTACACATATATTATGCACATTCATTATTTTAGTCGAAAAGCCAGTTTAACCCTCTGAAATTCCAATCCTGCTCCAATAATGCATGATGTGTTTCAGTATTAGAGAAAAATGGATGGAGATGAATATTATTAAAAAGCTAAATTTAATCTAAACCTAGAGGAATTTCGAATCTTATATCTTCACCATCTCAATAGCATTATGAAATAAAGCACTATTGGACAATTCTTCTTTATACAAACTAATGAACGTGACAACAATTTTAAGAGACTAGGATACTAACAAAACCACCTGGGGCAGGGGGACCAAGATAAAAATGCACACACCTGAAATCCCAGAACTCAGGGGACTGAGGCTGGAGGATGTTCAGTTCCAGGTCATCCTAGACTACATGACAAGAGATTTTCCCAAAAAACATAGACAAAACCACAGAATAATCATATGAACCTACACATATCTATGCATTTAGGAATTCTATGTATTTGCTTACTATACAGCATTGAAATATTAGTACATAGCTTGAAAGTAAAAAAAAAGGACAAAAGAAGAAATAATTTCTTTTTAATGTAGGATTACTTTTAATGATACATCATCAAAATTATTTTAACAACTATATGCTTGTTGTAAAATATTATACCAAGCTGAAGGATGGTCACCCAAAAAAGATTTATCCATATCCTACCGCCTAGAATCAATGACCATCACCTATTTGGGAAAGGGATAATTGCAGATAGAATTACGGATCTTAAAAGAACCACCCTAGATTACCTAGGGGGTGGAATTCAGTTCTCTATAGGGGCCAAAAATAAGGTGATGTGAACACACAGGTAGACACCAGAATGATAGGGCCAACAGCCAGAGATGCCTGTATCTACCAGGTGTGTGATAAGGCAAGGACCTTATTTTCTCTGATAACTGGTATGACAATTTGATAGACCAGGGCAGTGGTACCAACTTGCTTTGAGACTTGTGCTTCTAGGATTCTGAGAGAATGGATTGTTATTACCACAGTGAGCAGCTCACAATCACCTGTAACTCCAGCTCCAAGGGGATCTGATGCCTCTGGCCTCCAGAACACCTGCACTCATATGCACACAGCCACATAAGGACACACATTTACATGCCACTAAAATAAGAAGTCTTTAAAAAGGGGGAAAAGCAAGCAAGAAATGTTAGTTAAAAGATAAAAATCATTGACAGTAAGATGTGAGATATTTCCATGCTACAGCTGACAATACAGGACAAGAAATGAATGGAACTATGAGAATGACTGATAGAAATCAATTAATATTCTAGGAGTATGAGTGCACTAGAGATTTATGGGTATTAGACTGTCAGGGAAAAATTGTATAGAAAAGTTAGAATTGAAATTTGGGATCCTAAATGTGGTGAGGATTGGACAGGCTCATTTAGCCACAGTCCTGGTGGACAAAAAGAAGTTTAAAAAAAAATATGCCATTAAAAAATTTTTTTAAAAAAATATGCCATTGAAAATCTCTCAGAAATGCATATATCTCCACTAGATATTATTATGGAAAAACTGTTCCTATGGGGGTGTGGCAGTTCTGATGGAGTTTTATAGGAAAGTGTGATTATTTGCAGGTGATACACAGCTATTGAGGGGCCAAGTGTCTTGATGCAGCTCACTTTAAAAAGTAAAACAAAAAGGTGTGTGTGTGTGTGTGTGTGTGTGTGTGAGAGAGAGAGAGAGAGAGAGAGAGAGAGAGAGAGAGAGAGAGAGAGAGAGAGAGAGAGAGAGACTGTAACAAAACATTTGTAAAACATTAACAGTGAAAGGATGTACACGGAAAGAGACATGTATGATATGATAAGGCACTCACAAGTCTCAACCAAGAGATTCCACTTAAAGAAAGCAATCAGAAACTAGAAACAGAAGATGGACAACAGCCAAGTGCTCCTTTGTATGGTATAAATATATAGAAATCCAGAAACTGGAGAACAGCATGTGTGCTCTGCGTTAGAAAGCTTTTAGTATTACTATGACCAAGCTCCAGTGATATTTGCAACAATTAGCAAGTTTTTGATGTGTTGATAGTTTCTAAATGGCAGCAGCTACAAAGGTAATAAGATATTAAATTCAATTTAACATCATTAAAACACTACAAAGGAGTCTCATCCAAATGCATACGTAACTTAAATCCAATTATATGCCACAGACTAATCATTCACTGGTTAAAAAATAGGACTCATTAGCTGGGCATGGTGGTACACACCTACAATTCTAAATCTTGACAAGAAGAAGCAGGAAGATTACCCTAAGTTCAAGGCCAGCCTGGTCTACATACTGAGTGCCAGGCCAACAAGAGTTATATATTGAGGACTGATTTCAAGAAAATGAAAAGGTACATATATGTGTGCGTGAGATGGGGGGGGCGCATATATACACATACAGCATATATATGGCATATATGACTCCTAAATGTAACCCAGATATTTCACCTGGGAACAGCAACCCATCACTACGGACATGCTAATAAGACCAAAAGAATCAGATGAGTATTATATACACAAATTTGGATATTCAATTTACAAACAATTTCAATAGATTCCTCAAGGTAATTCTGACTGCATTTGGGGCTCACTTATGCAGTATCTTACAACTCAACCCTAAACATTCAAGCATTGTACCATGCCTGTAATCTCAGAACTCCAGAGCCTGACAGGAGGATTGCTGTGAGTTTGAGAATGCCCAGAGTTATACAGTAAGTTCCAGGCCAGGCAGGTCTATGTAACAGTAAGACCCTATCTCAAAACAAATACTTTTTCACATCATTCAAAACCAGTTTTATTTTCTATAAAAAGTGAACATCAAGACCAATGATAGTTGATGTTATATGACAACTTAGTTGGATCACAGGTCAGATGGTTGGTTAAACATTTTTCTAGATGTTTCTGTCTGTTTTGAGACAGAGTCTCACTATGTAATCACTGCAGGCCTGGAACTTGATATGTAGACCAGGTTGACCTTGAACTCAGAGATCTGATTACCTCTACCTCCTGAATAGAGGAGTAAAGTTGTGGAATACCATAACTAGCCTCTTTTTTTTCCCAATAGGACAAATATTTAAATCACTGGACTTGGAATAAACCATTTCCATAAAGTGAAGAGGCTTCTATCAATTCTTAAAGACCTTAATAAAACAAAGACTAAGTGTCATAGACATATCTAGGAAGGTGGACTTTCAATTGAGAAATTTCCTTCATCAGACTAGCCTGTGAGCAGTTAGTGGGGGCATTTCTTAATGACTGACTTGGGTGGGGCCATCACTGGGCAGGTAAAGCCTGGGATACAGGCGAAGCACAAGAGGGGAAGCATGTAGTGTTTCTCAGTGTCTTTGCTTCAGATCCTGCCTTTAAATCCGTACCTTGATTTCCTTGACTGTGAACTACAGTAAATAAACCCTCACCTCCCCAAGCTGCTTTTTTGGTCGCGGTGTTTACCATAATAGCAGGAGCAAACTAGGACACTGAGACTGATTTTCACAGTCAAACAAATAATTCTTTTTTTTTTTAAAGACAGGATCTCCTTGGGCTAGAACTCACCATCTTCCTGGTTCAACCTCTTGAGTATAGGGATTATAGATTTGCACCACCATGTTTGGTACAAAAATTCTGCCAACAGTGTTTGGAGACTTGAACTGCAACTCCTTCTAACTCTGGAGTCTGCTGATCTAGTCTATCAGGTTTTGGACTTGCCATACTTCTTCTATAAACACAGGAGCCAGTTTCTCTAACATTATTTTTTGTGTGTTTGTGTGTGTGTGTGTGTGTGTGTGATATATATTACATATATGTGTGTATATATACATCTCTATCCTTTACACACACACACACACACACACACACACACACACACACACACACTCACCAAAAACAGTGCATTAGCCAGGGTTCTCCAGGGAAACAGTTGACAGGGAACTAGAGTCAACAGAATGCTTCCTTAGAAAACTCTGATATACTGTCCAGCATGGCTACTGAAGAAATGAAATAAAACAAAGTACACACTGTTCACTGTACCTGAAATTTGGGATAGTGCTAAATAAATGATTGTAGTTCTTCACCAAAGACTACAAGGGACAACACGAAGCTGTTTCTTTGAGGCCAGATAGACTCCTTAGTTGAAATTCAAACCCAGACATTCAATTAATTCTGAAAAAAAAAACTACCTTCTTTTATCCCTTCTCCTTTTTTATTTTATTTTATAATTTAATTTAATTTTACATCTTTTATCCCTTCTCATTTTCCATACTTGTCATTTGAAAATGGGACTTTGATTCTACAATGCTTAAGAGCTATTCAACTCACAAAGCTCACCTGTTTGAATACCTGCATTGAACCTCTTTCTGAATTAAGTTGGACTTCGAAGCTGTTCATGAGTTGATCCATATCTAGAAAAGATACAAGGGGAAAATAGCTTTTAGAACAATACTGACCCCATTATATGTATCGAGTATGACACGTACCCTATTAACAGTTTTTCAGATAAAATTTATACTTAAAAGTTATTAGAATATTCTAAGTTAATGTACTCATGGTAGAGAATGGCATTTGTCCCCGACGCTAGCTGCCTAATTCCTCTAAGTATTTCCCTTCCTTCATGTAAGTGAATCCATTTCTTCCAGCCTCTCCAACCTGTCCTATTTCAGTGATTATTGGCATACTTCATAGTTTCCAAAAATTTCCAATCCTGGTCCAGTTCTTGCTTTCACTAAGGACTTTTAAGCTACTATACAGGTATTTACCCAAGTAATACATGTACAAAGACAAACCAACACACCATTTTTGTCTATAGATCTTAAACCTATAAGCCAAGAATGGTTAAAAGCAGTTCTCATCTTCCTCTCTATATAGCTGTCCCTCTTATGAAGAGATGGTGTTAATAGCTTCAGTCAAATACCTTGAACCACCAGTCACCCCATAAAAAGCACCTATGTTTTCCTCCTTAACAGCTTTTGCTTGCTTTACCTACAGTTCAATTTCACCAGAGAGGAAAACAGAGGCTGATGGAACAAAGCAAAATCTACAGCTTACCTACAAACTAGCCAGCCAATTTCAGATCACACTTGTGCCTCCTCAACCCTGTCCTGTCTTAATCCACAGGAACCAAAGAAGACCAGACACTAGATGACTTGTAATTAGTCCTAGCTAGAAATAACGACTAGTCAAGGATGATATGACTGCAAAGGAAAAAACAATTCTGCAACACTCCTCTAGGCTTTCCTGGCAGCAACTAATCCAGCTCTTCCAGCTATTGAGCGCCCCCTCTGGATTATAAGAGAATTATCTGACATAACACTTTTTCTACCACCACATCTTTTTCCTACTTAGGAATTAAAAAACACTTAGCTATTCCTTCTAACACCTTTCACTTCATGTTAATGGCACCACGTGTGTGTTTCATACATAATCTCTTCAATTTTATTTCACAGTTTCCTACATTTTCCCAACTCTTGTTTTTAATAAAAAGCGCCCCCCCCCCCCTTTCTTTACTCCCCTTTTCTTTCTGCAAGAATGAGACGGGGTTTTACATTGTAGCCTAGGATGGCCTAGAACTCACTGTGTAGCTCAGCCTGGTCTCAAACACAAGCAAATCCTCCTGCCTTACCCTCCCAAAAGCTGGGATTACAAGCATAAAATACCATACCTGACCCCTTGCTCCTTCTCTGTCAGTATCATGCTAAGCCTTCTATCATAGTTTCAGACAATGTCCTTGGTCCTTAGAATACATCCAGGGGCGTGTGCTAAGAGCTTAAACTCTGTTAGAAGTCAGTTTTCTGAGTTCTGGCCCTAACTGTTCTTATTCCCTCCACTGCTCGAACCCTGGGAGGCTGTATAGAAGGAAGCGTTTAGGCTCTGCAAAGGGTAATGTGAACTCCTTCCTACAGTTCTAGATGGACAAGTCAAGTTTTACAAAGTCAGAAAATGTGATTCATGGGCATCTAACTCTCAGATCAATACTCGGCTGCATTTTCTTTGTGCCCATATGCTTGATTCCCCCAGAGTCCAAACTGGTAGTATTATGTCTCGTATAACCTCTGAATTTTCAAATGAAATTGGAGACAACAGTCTCAGCTGCCAAAATTCTCTAAATTCTGATAGTGGCTCAGAAGTCTTCCTTGTATTTCCCAAGGAGGTTTCCTTGTGTATTACTGCTTTTCAAGTAGGAATGATCTCCTCATTTCCTGACATTCAATAGATGAAATAATTGATGTCAAGTTCATTGCTTACTTTTTTGTGTTACTGTATCTTGGCTCCAAATACGCAAACCACACTCTTCCTATTACATTCTTCCTTGTTTTCTTTCTTTCTTTTGAGATGGGGGTCTCACTGTGTTGTTTGTAGGCCAGGCTAGCCCAGAACTCACAACAACTTCCTTCCCCCCCACTCCCACCCCCACCTTTGTTTCTGAAGTACTTGGATTATAAGTATCACTAGCTCAAAATTTTGTAATAACAAATTTTGTGATAATAACAAATTGGGAAAGGGATTCTGAGTGCCTTGTGAAAATATTAATAGCACTAGCACATACATTATTATAGGATTTCTTAAGTAAATAAATGTACAGGTGAATTAGGCAGTGGTGGTGCACACCTTTAATCCTAGCACTCAGGAGGCAGGGGCAGGTGGACCTCTGAGTTTGAAGCTAGCCTGGTCTACAGAGTGAGTTCCAGGATAGCCAAGGCTACACAGAGAAACCCTGTCTTGAAAAACCACAAAAAGAAAGAAAACAAGCAATGTTTTAGAATTTTTGAGATTCCAGATTGCCTGCATGTATGTCTGTATGAGGGTGTCGGGTCCCCTAGAACTGGAGTTACAGACAGTTGTGAGCTGCCATGTGGTTGCTGGGAATTGAACCCCGGTCCTCTGGAAGAGCAGTCAGTGCTCTTAACCAATGAGCCATCTCTCCAGCTCCAAGGATTACTTCCATCAGGAAAATCACAAGATGTACAAAAATACAGTCATATTGAAAAGATCCAAACCACTTAGCGTGACACCTATCTTAATTTTTTTTTTATCAATTTATATTTACAATCCTGGAGGTTCACATTCTGCAGCATCATCTGCACACTCCCCAGTCATACAATAGCAACTAGCCTAGCCTCTAGTGTTCTCATCAATTTAGCCTCTCCTCAGATGGTGATTTGCAAGCCCCATTTTCTCTTATACAAGAATAAAACAGATAGCCGGGCGGTGGTGGCGCACGCCTTTAATCCCAGCACTCGGGAGGCAGAGCCAGGCGGATCTCTGTGAGTTCGAGGCCAGCCTGGGCTACCAAGTGAGTTCCAGGACAGGCGCAAAGCTACACAGAGAAACCCTGTCTCGAAAAACCAAAAAGAATAAAACAGATACAGGATCAGAATGAGTAAGCAATGCTAAAGCCATGTAAGATGGGAATAAATGGTTGAGCTGGGATTTGAATCCAGGTATGATGCTCAATACAAAAGCTCTTTGTCTACATCAAAATACTTGAACGTTTTCTTCTAGAGATGACATGGCTATTACCATGAACTCACAGCAGCCGTGGTTACCTGCACAAGACCTACAAAAGTTGAGCATGAATGGAGGAGCCCACAAGGCTCCGCCTCTAAGATGCTATCGCTGCTGAGTCAGAGAAACAGCCTTTGGGGATGTGGCCATTAGTAGGTTGCATATGTTTCCTCCAGTAGATGGCTCCACATGCATGCACATATCAGTAGCACTAAGTAGACTTAGTGGGTTATTTTTTAAAAAAGAGGAGGAGGAGATGAAGGGGGGGCGCGTATGGAGGAAAGTTGGAAAGGGGGAAATGAGAGGTAGATATGTTCATATTTCATTGTGTACATGTATAAAACTCTCAAAAAATAAAATTTTTAAATGAAAAAAAAATACTACAACCCTGCACTTTTGAATGGTTTGGTTAAGTTGAATACAATAATGGAGGTCCTTTCATACCTTCACAATAAGCTCTATTATTGACAAAGAGAGGAAAGGTACCCACTAATTGTGGTATTAATCATAAGACAAAATGGGCAGCAATCACAATTGGCACACAGCACTTGAGTATCAGTTGAGAAGACGAAAAAAAGGCCACAGTAGCAAAGACTCATTGCTCTGAAATAGCATATAAAATCTTACCTTATCCTATCATCTAATTACTTAAGAGAAGATGGAATCTAGATTTTAAATGATATCCAACTTTAAAATATTGGCAATCAGCCAATTTTTAAGAGTATGAGATTGGGCAAAGTGGCTTGATGCCCTCCATTCATATGTGAAAGCCCTCACTCCTAAGGTGACTATATTTAGAGATATGGCCTTTATGGAAATAATTAAAAGTAAATGAGGTCATCCAGGTAGTGCTCTAATCACAGAAGATTAATCCCTTAAGAAGAAACACAGGAGAGTTCTGTCTCTTCACTTAAACAAAGAAAGATATTGAGTATACAGCAGAGAATGCAGCCGCCTGTGAGTGAGGAACATAGCCCTCACATCTGCCTATGCTGAGCCCCTGAGCCCCAAATTCTAGCCTCTAGAACCAGAAAAACAAAATTTCTGTTGTTTAAAGCACCCAGTTAGTGGCATTTTGTTCTAACAGCCCTATATATATAAAACTTACTGAGTTTTCATTCTTATTAGAAACACTACAGACATTTGGAAATATCCTGAATGTTGATCAATAAAAGAGTGGCCGAATAAACCATAGCTTACCCATATAGTAAAAAAACTATACAGTCACACAGAACCATGAGGCGGTTTTATAAACCTATAGGGAAATATCTCCAAAATCTATTTTTAAGTGGAAAAGCAAATGGAAGAATATGCAGAATGTGTTACTATTTGTGTATAAATGAGAGGAATATAATTAAATTACAATCTCAAAATTAAGATAAAAATATTAAGGGATTAAAAAGGCAAATAAACATGTAGGATGAAGAAAAAAGGAAAGTGATATAATTATATTTTAATTTAAAATGCATAAAAACAAAACAGAAAAAAATGAATTTAGATTAAAAAATTATAAAAGGAAAAAAAGTTGAACAATGCGTATGTGTGTATTCACATATACTGTTTCTATTGGATATACTTCAATATCTTCACAAAGAATCATAATAAATAATAACTTCAGTTGTCTCCAGTGAGGAAGAATAAGTGGCTAATGGACTAATAAGGGGAGAGTTTTCACTGTGTAACCTTTTGTTTATGTTGGGTCTTGAGCCGTATGGAATGTTACCTATTTAAATTACATCTGTTGCCGGGCAGTAGTGGCGCACGCCTTTAAGGGAGGCAGAACCAGGCGGATCTCGGTGAGTTCGAGGCCAGCCTGGTCTCCAAAGCGAGTTCCAGGAAAGGCGCAAAGCTACACAGAGAATCCCTGTTTGGTGGGGGGGGGGGGGCTTCTTCGCTTGCCTAGCAAGCACAAGGCCCTGGGTTCGGTCCTCAGCTCGGGGGGGGGGGGGGGGGGGGTATACATCTGTTAACAAAAAGGTAAATAAAAGAGAGTTTAAAATTTTTTAGGGAAAACAAAATTTTTGTATGAGCTGTAATTGGTATATAGGCAAGGCCAGGCAGTGGTGGCACATGCCTTTAATCCCAGCACTCGGGAGGCAGAGGCAGGCGGATCTCTGTGAGTTCGAGGCCAGCCTGGTCTAGAGAGCAAGACCCAGGACAGGCTCCAAAACTACACAGAGAAACCCTGTCTCAAAAAAACAAAACAAAACAAAAAAAAGGTATATAGGCTAATTATTTCAGCCTCTGGTCTAAATTAAGGTGTGGCAACTTTTAGGATAAAAGAAAAGATGTTAGGAAATGAAGACAAGCAACAAACTCGTTTGCCAACTAGGTGGATAAGGAAACTAAGAAGAAAAAAGCTTGTATTTTGTACAAAAGACATGAGAATCACAACAACCACACCTCCATTTTCTCACTGCTTATACTTATACTTTCATAAATTCTTAAAGCATTTTCACAAATTAATTTTCACAAGCATTTCACAGTGAGCAGTATGCTCCTCACTACCATTCAAGTAGTCTCTACTGTGAGCTCTAATTCAGAGGAAAACATTCAAATGCATAGTTTAAATAACTTCGCCAAGGTTATGTTAATGGCAGCTTGTAGAACAGGGAAATGGAAAGGAAAAGTCTTGAATGAGCAGTGGGTAACTCTAGAGGTGAAAATGGGCTCTATTTAGAATGCTAAGGTGGTGGTTACAACAAAATGTGTATGGTGGGGGGTTGGTTTTTCAAGACAGAGTTTCTCTGTGTAGCCCTGGCTGCCCTGGAACTCACTCTGCAGACCAGGCTGGTCTCAAACTATGAGATCCGCCTGCCTCCCAAGCGCAGGGAGTAAAGGTGTAGGCCACCACCACCGCCAGGCAGGTTTGAAATATCTTAACAAGGTGCTAGCGTTGCATTATTTAACCTTCAAATTCTCATAGACTCAGAATGCAGTTCAGTGGCAGAACACTTCCTTAGCATACCCAAGACCGTAAGTTCATTTCCTAGCATGGCAAAAAGACATAAAAAAAAAAACAACCCACCAAATCCACATTGCACTTAAAAAGAAATTTAAATATACAGATAACATCTTTTAACGTGTTATATTGACCATCTAGCATGTTCTGGACATTTATAACTAACTTCCTGCTCAATAATTTATACGTCTCCCCATTCAGACACACAACATTAACAACATTAAAGTAAAACGAAGCATTGAAACGAGCAAAATTAGTGAGACCCTTTACTTAAATACATTATTTACAACCACAAAGGACCATATTTTAGAAATAAGAGGCTAGATGATAAAGTTGAGTTGGGGTTAATAAAAAGAACAGAAACCCGACTTCTACTTATAAAATCTAAATAAACAACATCAGTCTGTAAGTCCGAAAGAAAACCAAATGTGGTCTCAGATTGTCTTTGGACGAAGAGATAACACCATCTATTCATACTCTACTTAGCAGTTAAATTGTAACCATACTGGATGATCATTTAGGTCAATCACACCTAAGAAGGTTTCTCTTCACTTACAAAAAATATGGCAGTTTAGAATAAGACCTTAGGTCCCCGCGGTGGTGGCGCACGCCTTTAGTCCCAGCACTCGGCAGAAGCAGACGGATCTCTGTGAGTTCGAGGCCAGCCTGGTCTATAGAGTGAGTTGCAGGACAGCCAGGGCTATTATACAGAGAACCCCTGCCTCGAAAAACTAAAAAAAGAACATGACCTCAGATCACAATCTACAAAATATGTACCAAGTGTTTACAAGGGAAAGGTAATTAGGTAAGCACTATGAAGACACGACGATATGAGTGTCATCAAGAAGTTCTCGGTCTCAAAGGACTGGAGGTTTCGTTATGAATACAAATAATCAAAATGCAGCAGAGCTTTAAAACAAAAGGAGCTTTAAAAAGTGTTCATGGCGCGCGCGTGTGCGCGCGGCGGCGGCGGCGGCAGTGGCGGCGGCAGCGGCAGCGGCAGCGGCAGCAGCGGCGGCGGTGGCAGCGGCGGCGGCGGCGGCGGCGGGCGCACGCCTTTAATCCCAGCACTCTGAAGGCAGAGTCAGGACGATCTCTGTGAGTATGAGACCAGTCTAGTCTACAGAGCAAGATCCAGGACTGGCACCAAAACTACACGGAGAAACCCTGTCTCGAAAAACCAAAAAAAAAAAAAAAAAATTGCTCATGCCTATAATTCCAGCACTCAGGAGGCTGAGGCAGGAGGATTGAGAGCCAGGTTTGCCTGGCTACATGGTAAGACCTTATTACCGTTTTAAAAATTACAATGGTATACTAGACACTGATTCCAATGCCCAATAATATTAAGAAACAAACAACATAATACCATTTTCCCCAGTGCCTAACGTCCAGTATGTCAATTTGCTAAATGAATTACATATCCCCAAACTGTTTTTCCTTCATCCAACAATTTAAGTGAGCTCATAAAGTATAACTGACTCAAAGCTAAGGTAAACATATAAATGTCCTGGGCTGGAGTGACATGACGGCTACATGTTAAGAGCACTTCCTGCTCTTCCAGAGGACCCAGGTTTGGTTCCCAGAACCCATGTTGGGCAGCTCACAATCACCAGGAGTTCTGGTTTCTTCAAATAAGCAGCAATTTACTCATCCGGACACATACAAAAGCACATAAATAAAAATAACAAAGACAGAAATACGAAAATAAAACATCTAGATGTATCAAACATTAATAAGCCCCTGCCAGAGTACAAAAGCTAGAGTAGCCAATCTCCACCTCCTCGCATGAGAAACAGAACATTCTGGAAAGACTAATAATATCTAGTCTTGATACCTTGGCAATAAAAAAACCAAACAGAAGAACCATTAAGAGCCGCATCTCTGAAGTGCATAAACAAGAAAAATAAGGGTGGTTGTGGTGATCACTTTTCCCCCACCAATTTTCCCTCCTATGAGCTCTGAAAGCAAGAGGGCTTTCCAGCATTCTGATGCTGGAAAACTCGAGCGAGCCTTTATGCAATTTGGTCTAGCAAACAGACGAGGTAGTTACATTTGTCACTTACTCTTTTGAAGTGGTATTTCTAGCCGTCCTGTGTTTTTGCCTAGCTGCCCTCTAAGATAACCTGGAGACACACTGTGCCTAGCCTGTCGCGTCAGCAGTTTCCAAGGATTAATGTCTCTCTCATAAGGGTTACCCCCAAACTTTGAAGAAGAGGATGAAGTCATTTCTGAGTCACTGGTTTGCTGTCCAAACGTCCTGCTGGTTACATCATCTTGGTTAAACTGACCAAAGAATCAGAAGATAGGACGATTAGTGGCCTTTTCTCTTGCAGCTGATAAAATCCAGTGGGAACAATGTTAAATCACAAACAAATAAGACATATATTCCAGCCTGTTTTTGAGCAAACTGTTCAAACTGCACAGGTCTTCGCTCCCTTCGTCCGAAATGTGTTTTAAGGACCGCAAAGTACTAATTTGACTAGCGGTGCTCCAGAGGGAACCCCAAAGAGTAGGAAAAGAAAGTGAAAACCAGAGCAAGTCGAAGCGGCACATGCCATATATATCTTCTGAGTAAGAATTTTTAACATGCATCCTACAGAGGAGAAAAGCAAGGTTCATGGTCATAAAACCAGTTAGTGGCGGTAGGAGAGTTTCAAAGTAGATCTTTTCTATTATCCCAAACCAATATCTTCAGCTTAAAATCCACATTTAGATATTAGTCTCTTTTTTTCTCTTTTCTTTCTCACTATTACACTAAGTGGCATACAAGTACTTTATCTTTTTTTTCCCCCCGCATGGGCAGTAATGTTAGAGAAAATAAGGTCTTGCTCCCCTGCCCACCTGTTAGGATATGATTTCGTTTCTTCAACATTCTTAGGGTCAAAAAAGTACAAAAAAGCTTCACCTGTGGCGAACCACGTCCTTTCGCTCCGGTAATCACAGCAATCCCCGCTGATCCTCCACCTACAAGAACTCACCTCTTGGCCACATCTTAAGGAGCCTAGATAAGGCTTCGCTCTGGCTTCCTCCTGCAACCAAGCTCAGCCCCTCCTTAAAGAGCTGGCACGCCCTAAGCAGCTCCTCCTCAGAGGCTCCGGGAAGGGGTCTTGCCACCAATACTAAGAGGCCATGCTCCCAGTTTAACTCTTCACGGCCCCTCCTCCCTCTTTGGAGAATCATCTCTAGGTACCTGCTACCGCTTGGGGGAAGGGAGGGGTGACGTAAGTGGGATCACTGGTCTTCCAAATTCTCTTCTCTCTTGCTGAGACTTTGGATGTATGCGGTTAAAACGAACCACTTAAGGAGAATTGAGAGCATAGAGACAGGACAGACTGAAGTAGACAAACCTATCCTTTCTTGTCCCCTTCCAATTCTTCCACAAGGCCCCCTGAAGTACCCCCTCCTCTTAGTCTCGCTTCACAATCCTTAAGGGAAGTCATTTTTCCCTTGAGTTTAATTTGATTCCACATAATGTTCTTACCCTTTCCGCTCACACGCCCCCCATCCCAACACTTCACTGCTAAAACCCAAAGCCAAGTGGGTGTGTGCGGTTGGCGGCGGCAGCGGCGGCGGCGCGGGGCGGAGGAGGGGGTTAGTTAGAACCTAGATTGAGGACATGAGAGTGGGTTCTTTCCCGAGTCACTTACCGCCCTTGTCTCTAGCTGAGGACTCCTGAAGTGTCCGGAGCTCATGCGGTCCTCCCGGAGACTCATACTCCTGAGCTGATCTCAAGACAGCTGTTCCCCTCGCACCCGCCCATGTCTGACAGCGCGCCTGGCAACGCTTTAGCCTCCTCTTCCTTGGTCCCCCACCTCTGTTTTCTCCTGGCTGGAAAAGGATGGGGGAAACGAAAAAGGGAGGGAGTCGATTCAGACCCAGCTGGGCCACCCTCAGAACAAGGGAAACAAAGCTTTCAAGCATCCAAGCCCCGAATCGGGGCGGCGGAGCAGACTTCCTAAAAAGAATCCTCCCACTGCAGCTTTCCCTGTGCTAAAAATACAGCGGCTTCTCCGGAGCGAAGTGGCCAGCGCTAAAGCTCCTGCGTTCCCCTTTTACCTCAACCGATTCAGTTCCGGCCAAGCCCATTCTCCACCCACCCCAGAACTCCTCACACCCTCCCCGAGAGAGCCGGGGTGGGGTCCCGGCAAAGCACCCAAACCTCAGATCACGACTTGAACGCAAAGTTGAGACGGAGGAGTCAGTGAAGACCCGCAAGGAGACAGCGCCAGAGGATCCCCTCCACGCAGCGGTTAGCGCTGCACACCCGGCGCCTTCCTAAAAAGAAAGGAGGAAAAGAGGCCGGCGATTGGTCGAAACATATAGGAAAACACCGACCCAGGGCAGGGGCTCCCACGTTAGTGGCAGGCACTCCTGCTGGACCCCGCCAGAGAGACTTCCCGGTGGTACCTGGCCACCCCACTGGTACACCACGCCCGTGGGGTCAGAGCCTGGCGGCTCGCCTCGCCGGGCAACCTGAGTAGGTGGAGTGCTTAGCTCTTTCTCTAGCAGACTAGGCCCAGAAGAGAGGTGTGACTACCATGAGGACTCCACCTAGGGTGGAGTTCCTTAAAAGGGACAAGTGGCCGCTAGAGGGGAGTGGAGTAGGAGGGGGGTGGAGATGGGTGGGGCAGAGAAGGAGGAGGGACAGGGGAGGGGGTGGGGCGAGACCTAGGAGCTAGGAGCTGGCCTCGCCCCTGGCGGCGGTCTCTGTTGGCCTCCTGCAGCAGCAGGTACAACTGAAATCAGTTTCAGTGCATCCTTAGTCCTTGACAGGGGTTTTCGGGCACACTACATGGTCACCTATCCACCAGGATTTAAGCTCTCTAGGGAAGGGTGAGAAGGGTGTGGTGATTGGGAGTAAGGGATGTCTAGGAAGAAAGGGATGCGGAATGGGGAGTGCCAGAAAGATGGTAACTGTAAGCGGATTTTTACCCTCCCAGTTCTCCATGGCAACGTGTGACAGTAGCAAGGACAGAGGGGTCACAGTGTCTTTTTAGGGATGACGCTTAAGAGGAATGGAGATTGGAGCTGGGTGCATTTTCTAGCACTAGCTAAGAGAAGGTGAGAGTAAAGAGAAGGTGGGGAAAAATGAGTTGAAGATGAATTACTAACACCCTGTGGCCCTGGCAGGGAGAGTTCAGAAAGGCTTTCTGAGTCTCCCAGCTACCAGCTCTCTAAGAATAGAGTTCTCAACCCCCTGAGACCGCCTCCCAGCCAAGTATTGGCTAACCTCCCTGAAGATCTGAATCCATAGAATAGAAGCCACGTTTCCAGCATTTCCTTGCCCTTGCCTTGTAGTCCTTCTCTAGCTCATTTAATGGAAACCCAGGAAGTCACAGACAACCACAGCCTCCTTCCAGTGCCTCTTCCCTATCACAGTTCTTTCAAAGGGGAGGCAAAAGAGAGAAGAAACAAAGGAGAGGAAGGGAAGGAGCAGCCAAGCAAGAGAAATAATAATAGGCTCCGTGTATTCAGCACCTCGCATGGGCAGTTCACTGGGCCAGGTACCATTACAGTCATCCATTTTCCTTTATTCCTGGGAAAAATCCTGGAAAGTGGGTAGCACTATATTTTTATGCCTCATCAGGGAGGACTGAGGACTGAATTCAGGACCTTGTGTATTCTAAGCACTCTACCACTCAGCTGTACCCCAGCTCATTTTTGTTGTTGTTTGAGATAGGTAGTCTTACATGGAGCTCCGGCTAATGTTATAGCCTAGGCTGTCCTCAAACTCACCAGTCTCCTGCCTCAGTTTCATTAGTTCTGAGTTTGCAGGCACGAACTGTCACACCCAGCTCAGTATGTGCCTGGAATGTATGTCCATTTGCTTAATTGCTATGTCTGCTCAGATGTGTTGTAAACATCTCCTTTCCTTCCCTCCCCAGACAATCTGTTCTTTCACGGTAGTTCACCAACTACCTAAACATTAAGGTAACACCTCGGAATTCTTCCACTTGCTGTGATGAGGGTCTGGACCCTGCCTCTATCTCAAGCAGCAGGGTTTTCCTGGCCTGCTAGATCTTACCCAGATTTGAAATCTCTGATAATTCCAGGCCTTTTCCAGCCTCGGGGCCATGAGACAGACACCTTACCTTCTCTGTCTGAAGTGGCTGTTTAAACTCTCTGCCCACCTTTTTAAAAGGACGAACTAAAGGTCATCTCCTCTCCTTATTTAATTCACTCAGGAAGAACTGACCATTTCCTGCTGTACCTCTAGGTATCCATGTGTTGTTATAACTGCTTCTCCTTATTACTACACTATAATGTCCTGGAGGTTAGGCATCAGGTGTTATTATGTCTGTAATGTAGATGCTGGGTATTGTTATCAATAATAGTTATCGAGCAGAAACTATGTGCTGAGCTCTGTTCTAAGATGCATTGAATCATTCTGACAGTGGTATAGGTAGGTATTATCACTGTCACTTTCATATGTAGAAACCAAGGAACAAAGATTAAACAGCATGTATATGTACGTGCTATGTGAAAGAATGACCCTGTAGTAAGGGCTTTTATAAATGCCTCACTATCTCTCTATACCGTATTTCCACCGATGCCTACACCCCTGCCCCGCTTACAAGGTAAGACTTACTAAGTGAAAGCCATACAATGTACAACTCTACATATTCTTTTTTAAAAGTGTCATTTTATCCCTTGGAGCCTTATGTTCTTAATGTATAAAATCTGGGGAGTATTACTAAAAGAATGATTTGTCATTAGTCTGAGGCTATCTTCAGTAATGACAGATGGTTTTAGATTCAAGGATGTCAAACTGTTTATATCAAAGACTAATACACTTTTGTGATGTGAAAAATTAAGACCGGTAGACTTCTGTAATAAATTTCTACATCAATAGCCACGAGAATTCTTTATCTATGCTAGGTACACCATTCGGCCTTCAGTGAAGTCTTCGTTCAATCTACGCAGGCTCCTCAAAAAGTTGTGTCCTAGCCAGGTGGTGGTGGCGCACGCCTTTAATCCCAGCACTCGGGAGGCAAAGGCAGGCGGATCTCTGTGAGTTTGAGGCCAGCCTGGTCTACAGAGCGAGATCCAGGAAAGGCGCAAAGCTACACAGAGAAACCCTGTCTCAAAAAAACCAAAAAAAAAAAAAAAAAAAAGTTGTGTCCATTTGAAGATAGTCAAACAGTCGATCCTCTGACTAAAAGTATCCCTGGTTATCTAATTTATTTTATGCCCTTGTTTTTGTCTGCCTCAACTGCATTTGTATAGAAAACATTGGACCAGATTGGTAAATTCAGATTTTGGAAAAAACAAAGTAAATTATTAAACCTTAGGTAAATGAACTTGAGACTCTTTCCCACCCATTTAGTCAATGAAACATACTAAGCACCTATGCCCTAGTAAGAAGCATGTTGAACATTAGAGGGAGAAATAAAATAAAACCACCCATTCTCTCTCTCTCCTGGGGACTCCAGAGTAGGAGCCCTTGACTTCATCAGACCCAGTCTTTCGGTTCACACTTTTCCTTTGAAGATTTTAGATATGGTATCCATCTGGTTTGAATGAGAACTCAAAGGTGACTCACAAGGAACTGTGTCCCTCGGTTAGTGGTAAAGATGGCGTTTACCTTGACATTCTTTGTCTCTGTTCTCTATTTCTCCAGACCGTAGCCTGAACCCAGTGCATTGGGTATGTCTGGCCAGCACTCTCCCACTGAGCCCCTCCACACTTGTTCTCAGATCAATAAACAGCATGGCGGATGCCATTTATATCACATGGAAAGTTGTGAGGGAGCAGACATGGAGAAGCAGATGCAATGCTTCTTCCTTCTAGGAAGAACCACAGGCTCCCCTTTTCTTAGGTGGCTTAAGAAATAAGGCAAAGAGCAACCTCCAATATCTTCAACTTGCCCCATTTCACCCCAAGCATAAGGAGCCTGAACGCTTACAAAAGCAGCCTAAACTCTCCTCTATATGCTTAAAGAATCTGAGGGGGAAGGTGAGGGTTAAATTAGAAACTGAACTTAATGAAAGATGGTGGAGAAGCCTGCAGACACCCAGATCACACAAGATGCTGTTCTTTGTTGCCCTTCTTCCTCTTCATTCTCCTGTTTCTCTTCCTCCTCCAGAATGCCAACAAACTACCGGGGTGGAGCCCAGAATGAGGGCTAGAGGGAGAAGAGGGGGCAAAGCCTCAGGAAGAGGCCTCCACCCTGCCTGCTCCCAGCAGAACAACAACAACAATTGAAAATTCTTGAAGGGCTGGAGCTAAGGAGAAGGTGGGGCAGAAAAAAAGGGGCAGAAGAGGATGATGAGGAAGGGCGGAGACAAGACAAGGGAGGAGATTTAGGGGGCGAGCAGGGTAGAGCAGCCTGGGGGACAAGGAAGAAGGTAAATACATAAACAGAAGAACTGGCCCTCTTATGATATGCTGTTCCTGGGGCAAGACTATTGCCAAAACCAGTGCATAGCTCAGACCTAGTGGGAACAAAATTGCCCTCCTCACCCACTTTTTTTTTTTTGCTCTGCATTCCCCAGGGGGTATAGTCCCCCTGCAAGCTCAGCTAGAAGGAGACCTTTTGCCTCCCTGCCAGTGTTGAAGCAGTGTTGAGTTCCTCCCATGGCTCAGAGGACATCTCGAAGGTTACTGAGAGGAAAAGACCTGGAAAAAGACTTGGTTTGTAAGCTATGCAACGTTGAGCAAAAGCCTTCACGTCTCTAAACACCAGTTTCTACAGCGATTTCTTTTATAGAGATACTGTTAGCACTGACTTCACAGAACTGTCAAAAAAATTAAATAAGACACAGAGGAGGCTTTGCAGTGACTAGCAAATTTAAGTTTTGGGGCTTCTTTCCCAGAGTGGAAGGAATCAAACCGTTTTTTTCTCAAAGTCTCCAGAGTTCTATCAGTAACCAGTCTCGGAAAACCCTACCTCAGCCCGCCCGATGAGATTACGGCCTGCAAAGCACACTGCTTGGCACAAAGGAACCTCTCAAAGGTTAACTAATATTACTTTTAACAATGGAACCTCTGAACTTTGAGTCTCCTTTTTGGCCACAGAAGTTGAAGCAATGACCCATATTCTTTGTATTCCCTTTCCTTATACATCCAAATACACCAATTTACAAAATTAGCAACCAAACTGTTTGCTCTAAGGCATCCAGAGACACAATTAAATTCACCTTAGGAATGTCCAGTGGGCCAGGAGCATATGGCCAGAATTTGAAATCCTCCTGGCATAATACCATCCCAGGCAAGCTCTAGCAGGCCTACAAACGACTATAAATTTAGTTGTGCCTTAGGCCACTAACTATGACTAAAACGCTTGATTAATTGTGGTAGTGTGGTGGTGGTGGTGGTCATGGTGGTGGTGGTGGTGGTGTATGTGTTAGGACAAGAAGTTGGGCTCCCATGGATTTTCACACCACTTAGACTACAGAAGTTACCACACCCATAAATTGGAGGAAGGAAGAACCTTCAACAGTGAGCAACCAAGTCAAACCAGAAAAACTGGGAGCCTCGGCCTCACCTGAAGGAAAGGTGTCCTTGTCCCTAGAATGTATATTCCCGAGTCAGTATAAGATTGAATACTTGCTTTCATATTTCCCAAATAAACATATGAGATTATA